GTCGTCACTTCCATAAGCGATGGATTGGAAAAATTCGATTAAAACATGCGACTATACCTACTCTCTTTCTTGGTAATAATATTATTACAAATAAGAATATTTTAAATAACCTTGATCAACCTAGACAATGAAAATGTAGAAATGAATCCGAGTTCTTCACAGAGTAAAAAGTGCGATGTTTCTGGTTGCAACATTATTCGCTCAAACACGTCATTATTATCATTTCCTACTGATGAGTATGACCGCCAACACTGGAGAGATGTTTGCGGAATAGTAAGTCAGAAGCGGAAGTTGTTAATTTGTAAAAATCATTTTCACACTAATGAAGTAGGCAAGAGGAAACTGATTGGTAAATCCACACCATCAAAAAATTTACCCTCGGTTATAAGTACGAATATATTAGAAGAGCAAGAGGAACTGCGCGTTACACCTGTAAAGCAAACGTATGCTGATAATCAAATACAGAAAGATATGACTTTGAAGGAGTTTCAGACATTATCTGACATCTGTTATGCTGAAGAATCTATAAAGCAACAAGAAAAAGTTGAACAATGTGGGAATGAGGATGAAATTAGTCCTTGCTTTGGAAACTGTAAAAAAGAAATTGCATGTAATAATAAAAAGTATCAGAGTAATTGCTAGTTTAAACAAAAAAATCGCATCTTTGCGCAAATCAAAAAAATACTACAAGGATGAAAATGAAAAACTAAAAAAGCTATGTATTTTACCAGTATTTTAGCAGAAAACGCTAGTCAGGAAGCTTTAACTTTTGCTAAAATGATTGTCAGTGAACGACACATTTATAATAAAGAAGAACAATATTTAGCTCAAAATATTGAATATGTTTCGGCTTCTTTATATAAATTTATGCGAGACGAATTAAAATTCAATATGCCGAGCACAGCAAGTTTGCATCGCTGGCGACCAATAAAATTCATGAAAACGGGTACAAGAGTAATTCAGAATTTGAGGACAGTAAAAAGTCAAGCAGAAAAAATATGTGCTGTTATTCTGGATGAAATGTCTATACGGAGGGATTTATGTTATAATAAATTCACTGACCAAATCGATGGATTCGTAGATTTTGGTTATGATAGACGTTTTCCTGAAGAGGCCAACAAATGTTTGACGCTTATGATAAAAGGAATTTGTAGCAACTGGAAATATATTCTAGCTTACTATTTAACTAAAGAAGGTGCAACAGGTAAGAAAGTATTTTTAACGATTTTTATGAAATCACAACGTTGTATTACTAGGAAACGTTTTGAAGGATATACTTGAACGAAACCTGGAACTTCTTCTATCAATTGACCTTAGACCCGTTGTAGTGATATGTGATCAGTCAGCTACAAATCAAAGGCTTTTTTCTTTATTTACCATTAGTCAGAAAAAGCCATATTTTGTATTCAAAGATAAAAAAGTCTTCGTTCTATTGCCACCTATTTAAGTCTATACGAAACACATTACTTAAATATGACATTCAAACTAGTGATGGCATTGCTACACTGAAAAAATTATGAGTTGTTAAAATAACATTTTTTCTTATTTGACGAAAAAGTTTTTGATGTAACAAATAAGTTGTTGCTTTAACAATTATTTACTTGTGGTAACAATTTTTTTAATAAAGAAGTTTGTTGACATTACAATAGAAAATTTATTGATGACCCTTTAACAAAAAAAGTTGTTCCTTTAACATTTTTTCTGTTCTCCGAACAATTTTGTTATTTAATTGAAGGGACAAATAAGAAATTGTATTGGCAAGTATTTTATTGTTAAATTAAAAATGTAACGATTGTTTTATCAAGAAGAAGAAATTGTAATATTAAATAAGAAAATTGTTAACACATAGTTCGAGCATCTTATTTGTTTTTGTAATGCTCTTCTCTATTGTAATTCTAACTGCCGAAACACATAACAGAGTATGATATGATGCGATTTCGCTCTTTTTCTTTATTCACACTCTTTGTTGTGACATTCAATTAAAGAAAAATTGCAGCATTTTGCATAGAACTATTGTTTTTGTTGTTTTTTGTGCATCTTGTAACGTCCTTTTTTCGTTCGTTATGTTTGCTGAGGTATGCAAAGCGGTTGTCCAGGTTCGTTATAATAAAATTTATATCTTCGGGACTAGTTTCTTTAGGAACCAAAATAAAAGCGTAGATTTTATATATTTTATTAATACTTTATTTAATTATTCAAAAAAAACAAAACAATTATAATGGGTATAATTTTAGATAAACAAAATATTATTATCTATATATTATAAGAATTATATTATTAAATTATAATGGTTACAATTCAGATAAACAAAATATTATTTTCCAAGGATTGGAGAAATTTATGATTTCCGCGCGTGACTTTTCCGTAGGGGTGGACTTATGTCACCTCAGTATATGAATTATACATAAGATCAGTTGCTGTCAAAGATGACGATGTTTCGGCGACTGGTTCTGGCTTGTTTGTTATGAAGACTCCTGCCTTCGTACTAAGGGATGTAATAATTTGGCTAAATGATCAAAGAGAAAATTAAATGAAAATTAGTTTCCTACTTTGATCGAATTGACCAGATTAGGCTGATTAAGCCTGTGAACTAAGATTATCCTGATTTGATCGAATTGACCAGATTAGGCTGATTAAGCCTGTGAACTAAGATTATCCTGATTTGATCGAATTGACCAGATTAGGCTGATTAAGCCTGTGAACTAAGATTTTCCTGATTTGATCGAATTGACCAGATTAGGCTGATTAAGCCTGTGAACTAAGATTTTTCCTGATTTGATCGAATTTGACCAGATTAGGCTGATTAAGCCTGTGAACTAAGATTTTCCTGATTTGATCGAATTGACCAGTTGAACTTGTTTATCGTTTGATCTCCAAGACACAAGTTGTTCGCTTTGTGAAATTCGCGTTCTTATATACTGATTTGACCGGAGCTTTTTGGTGTAGCGTACCGGTAAACTTCGTTGTTCGTGTTGACTTTTTGTGCTTCTCGTGTCTTTCTTGTGTATTTTGTGTATTGTCGTGTTCTTCGTGTTATTTGCATTTTTGCGCACTTTTCTTCGCCTTCCTTTGTTTTCGCCGCGATTACATTTTGGCTACTTCGTGTTTATATATTTTTCTTTAAAAACAAAATATATAAAAATAATATAAAAATATATTTATAATTAAAATAAATATAATATGTGTCAAAATAAAAATATAAGTGAGTGTTTTAATACATGTGGTAAATAGAATTTTAATGCTACTGCATAAAATTAGTGCTGGTGTAATTGGGACTTGTAGTTTGTTTCCTCCGTCGGTGGTTTGTTTATGTTTATAAAAAAATATAATTTAGTAACGCAGTGATTTTGTCTTTTTTTATTTCTTTTGTGTAAAATAAAAATAACATAAACCAAAAATCAGAAGTATTGCTTGTGATATGTTTTTTTGTTTATCGTAAAAAAAAACGTAACCAGCGAGTGTTGTTGGTTGATTCTATATATTTGTTTATATTTTTTCCTATTATCAAAGGTTTATTAAATAATAGTGCAAAAAAATGTTTATTAAATAAATGTGTTGTTTATTGTTTAGTAAATGTTCAATGTATGTTTTAAATTAAAATATGTAAAAAATTCCAAATTCATTCATAAAATTCACTTTTTGTTTATTGCTTCTTCTTTAGGTTTGTGCGGTTTACGGATCAATGCCCGCGGTTCATCTGGCTAGTGGCTCACAGGTAATGTCTGTACACTTAAGTGACCAAATATATATTAATATATTTCTTATTTTTTTCAGGTATTTACGATGTTATATTTTGGTGGGTGAGTGCTGGTGTTGGTTTTTATGCTGACGGTCTGACGTCAGATTTGTATTTAAGTATATGTATGGTTGAAATTGTTGTATGGAATTTCAGCCTTTACATTCTCTCCCTTCTTCGGTGAACTGAAAAAATTTTTTTTTTTTTGGTAGCACAATTCATTTTACTCGTATTTTTGCTACTCCTCTCCGGCTGATCTGCACTTGGTATACTTTGCCTTGTACTAGACGTTTGAAACTAATTCTTTTTCCTGCACCTCGTTTTCCATTGGCATCGCGGATAGCTTGGTTTAACTCGGGTGGCCATTCATCCTCGATCTCTCTGACGTTATCTGCCACTGGTGGTTGTGCTTCGACTGCATTATTCATTAATTCGTTGTATAGTTCGTCAACCACTGGTGGTGGTGGTGATGGGCTTAGTTCACCAAAAATGTCATTCCACGTGCATTGTAATACATCGTGATCATCGTTTTCTCCACTTACGTGTGTAGGGATTGCTGGAGCATCTACTTGATTATTCGGTGAGTGTAAGTCACTGATGTTTTGGTGATGATTTTTTTTACCTCGCCATCCAATGGCTTTCGGCAGCAATTTACGGTCGGCGGGCCTTATGTTAGGTTGTGTTTGACTGACTTCTACGGCTCGGATCTTCTTACTGACTTGACTTCCTTGCCTTTTATTTTTAAAACGTTTGTCCATTTGTTCTACTGCATTTGGTAAATAACGGCTGCGTGGTTTGCTTGCCTCGAGCTCTTCCAGTCTTTGTCGTACACGTGTGGCCGTGCGTTTAAACTTTGCTTCGAAATTCGTTGTCATCTTGGACTTTCTTGATCATACTGTCTTCTTAGGACACTCGTGGTCCTTATATATTGTCAAAAGTGTGCTAATTTGAGCTTTTTGAACCATGATATCAGAGTAGCCCTTTTCTACTTGTTTCTTTGCTTATTATTTTGCACTCTACACCCTGAATATTTTTTTTGTTAAATTGGCCAACTGACTGGAGACAGTTTGTTAATGGTGAAAGTGATTATTATTTTATATTATTATTGATTTATATTATTATGATTGTATTATCATTATAATATTTTATTATACGACATGCAATAAATTTGTTTATTATATTCTTTTCCAAGCGTGGGTTTTGTTTTTATTTTCCAGAGTATATTCGGAGGTCAGCGATATGAGCTTTGATACGTATATTTCTCTTAGAATGAGGCACGATTTCTCTTTCGTTTCTTTGGACTCTTGTAAATTTTGTAGTAATCATCTTGGTTTTTGACATGATGATGGTCATCCTTTCGTTTAAATGTGTCTAGACGTCTCACGAGAGTTTCTGGTTTGTTTCCTTTTTTGCTTGGTTGAACGACGTTCCATTCCTCTTGTGGTGACCATGGTTCTTGTTGACTGTCACGCTTGACTTTATCCTTTGCTTGAGTTTCTTGGCTTGATAGTTCCATATTAAGTTTACTATCTAAAACATTGATATCTAATGGATCTAATGAATTTGTAGGTTGTACATGACGATTGTTCGATACTGGCTGTACTGTAGTAGAATTCCTCTGTGGCGATGTAGTTGATGACGACGATGATGATGGACCAGACTGGTAATTATCTCTTGGTGGTGCTTCTCGTGGTGCTTGTTGCTGATTAACAGGATATGGCGGCTGGGGCTCAAGTTCCTTTGGTTGTAACGATGATTTGAAATTACTATGCGAATGACACAGTATCGTTTGCGACGATGATTTGAAATTACTATGTGCATGACACTGTGACGTTGATTTAAAATTACTTTGCGAATGACTCTGTGGCGTTTGCGACGACGATTCTGAACTTGTAGAAGTTGGTAACAATGAATGATTGACATGTGATGACTCTGGTATTATCGTTAAACGTTGTGGCAGTGTTGGACGTGATGATAAATCATGCTCTTCGATTTGACGCTTTTGTTCTCGTGGTTGTTGTACATCTTGTATTTGCAGTTGTAGGTTTACGTGATCTTGTATAGAATATGTATTGGAAATTCGATGTTTACTAAGTCCTGGTTTATTTTCTTCGATAGGCGTAACGTTTTGCGGAACTTGCTGTGGTTGTATTTCATGCGCTTGCACTTGATCTGGTATTACTTGGATTGGATGAAATACTTCTGGATTTTGTTTGTTATATCTTGGACGTGGTTGTCGTTGTGCCTGGTGTATTTGAGTTTGTGATTCTTGATGATCTTGTGTGTATCGCTGTAGACTAAATACTTTCGGATTTTCTTCGATATGTTTTAAATTTTGCTGACGTTGTGCTTCTGGGATTTGGAACTCTTGTATCTCTTTGTTTGCTTTTGGATCATGCGATGGTGGTACAAGGCATTTACATGGCGCTTGTTCTTGTAAATTTTCTCTCAGTTTTACTGAATGCTTGTCTGGGTAAATCTGACATTGTGTGCTTTGTATTATACTTGGCTTGGATAAGGATGCTGTCTTCGAAGTTGCAATTTTATTTACTTCTGCTGTTGTTTGCTTATCTATTGACTGGTTATGTTGTTGGTTACTTTGCTGCTGGTTCCGGACAGGTGATACCGGGCCTAGACTATAGATGTCTTCAACTCGTACTGGCGTCATGGATATGAGTCTCATTGTATTCTGTAATGGCATCGTTGGTTGATTATTTACAATACTATTTGTTGAACTATTACTGCTACTGTTATTACTGTTATTGCTGTTATTGGCGGCAACTGCTAGTGTTGAGGAATCATTAGAATTAGCTGTTTCATTCAAAATACTACTTAGATGATGTGATGGAGTTGAAGAAGTTTGTGGTTGTTGCTGTTGAGACGTAGATAGTGTCAATGGTGAGGAAACACGAGCTGGCGACATTGTTACTTGTGTAGAAGTCTGTTGTGGCTGAACTTGTGCCGTAATTCGAGTTTCGTTTACGTGGATTAGTCTTAAGTCCTTGCGGGGCCTGAATTCCGAGAGAACGGCTTCCCCGCTGTTGGCTGTCCTCTTATCTCGTTTCCCGAATTTTCCTTGCAGCAGTCAAGGGTTCGTGTGTTCTGTTTTCCACAGATCCAACAAAAAAGAATTTTTGGGTTTCGACAGATTCTTGCCATATGTCCCAACTTTCCACACCTTCGGCATGCATTTGGTGCGTCTTGGATTCTTTGCTCGAAAGATTGGACTAGGTGGTTTCTTTCCTCTCTTAGCCTTGGAGGTCCGGTTTTCTCTTGTTCTCCCCGTATAGCTTCGTAATCACCAGCCATGTCGATTAGTTCTCCCAATGTTTCGAAGTCTCGTCGTCGGATATAAAGCTGGTAGTCCGGATGTGCATTTCGATAAATTCGTTCTAGTTGAGCAACGGCTCCTATACCTGCGTGTCGCATTAGAATTTGGATTGCTACAACGTAGTCTTTGAATGTCTCCCGTGACCTCTGACGGCGCGCCCGAATTTCATCTTCTAACTTCTCAAAATATCTTGCCGGTAGAAAGAACTTGAGAAAGTCAGCTTTGAAAGCGGTCCATAATTTCCACTGGCTGTTATTGCTTCTATACCAATTTAATGCTTTATCCTTCAAAAGTTCTGGCATGGTACGTGGTATTGTGTTAATGTTTAATCCATGAGCTTCCACCAACTCCTCGATTCGTTCGATGAACATCAGCGGGTCTTTGCCTCCGTCATATTTGACAGACCATTTCCGGACTTGTTCTATAGTTGGTGTAACAGGTGGAACTGTTATTTGTACATCGTTATTTACTTCTTGTGTGATCGGGATTGTTTTTGTATGTTTACGCGCAAGGTCCCATAGCATTTCTCTCCGGACCATGTCATAATCTTCTTCGTCGATGTATGCTGCTAGTCTTTTCCGTAATTCATCTACGGATCCACTCGTTTCTAGTTGCATTTCGGACAAGTAGTGGATTAATTCATCTTTCCGTAAGTGGTACAACCAGGATTTACTCGGCGTGGTAGGTCTTCGAAGTTCTTGGTCGCCAATATCGACCCTTGTTTTATGTTCTATAGACATGCTTGATTTCCTTTTGAAACTCAGTCCTTTTGAAACTCAGTTCTTTTGAAACTCCGTCCTTTTGAAACTCAGTTCTTTTGAAACTCCGTCCTTTTGAAACTCAGTCCTTTTGAAACTCAGTCCCTTTTGAAACTCAGTCCCTTTTGAAACTCAGTCCCTTTTGAAACTCAGTCCCTGCTCGGGCGCCAATTGTAACGACCTTTTTTCGTTCGTTATATTTGCTGAGGTATGCAAAGCGGTTGTCCAGGTTCGTTATAATAAAATTTATATCTTCGGGACTAGTTTCTTTAGGAACCAAAATAAAAGCGTAGATTTTATATATTTTATTAATACTTTATTTAATTATTCAAAAAAAACAAAACAATTATAATGGGTATAATTTTAGATAAACAAAATATTATTATATATATATTATAAGAATTATATTATTAAATTATAATGGTTACAATTCAGATAAACAAAATATTATTTTCCAAGGATCGGAGAAATTTATGATTTCCGCGCGTGACTATTCCGTAGGGGTGGACTTATGTCACCTCAGTATATGAATTATACATAAGATCAGTTGCTGTCAAAGATGACGATGTTTCGGCGACTGGCTCTGGCTTGTTTGTTATGAAGACTCCTGTCTTTGTACTAAGGGATGTGATAATTTGGCTGAATGATCAAAGAGAAAATTAAATGAAAATTAGTTTCCTACTTTGATCGAATTGACCAGGTTAGGCTGATTAAGCCTGTAAACTAAGATTATCCTGATTTGATCGAATTGACCAGATTAGGCTGATTAAGCCTGTGAACTAAGATTTTCCTGATTTGATCGAACTTGACCAGATTAGGCTGATTAAGCCTGTAAACTAAGATTATCCTGATTTGATCGAATTGACCAGATTAGGCTGATTAAGCCTGTGAACTAAGATTTTCCTGATTTGATCGAACTTGACCAGATTAGGCTGATTAAGCCTGTAAACTAAGATTATCCTGATTTGATCGAATTTGACCAGATTAGGCTGATTAAGCCTGTGAACTAAGATTTTCCTGATTTGATCGAATTGACCAGTTGAACTTGTTTATCGTTTGCTCTCCAAGACGCAAGTTGTTTGCTTTGTGAAATTCGCGTTCTTATATACTGATTTGACCGGAGCTTTTTGGTGTAGCGTACCGGTAAACTTCGTTGTTCGTGTTGACTTTTTGTGCTTTTCGTGTCTTTCTTGTGTATTTTGTGTATTGTCGTGTTCTTCGTGTTATTTGCATTTTTGCGCACTTTTCTTCGCCTTCCTTTGTTTTCGCCGCGATTACGTTTTGTTTATTTCGTGTTTTTTTATATATAAAATAAAATATATAAAATTAATATAAAAATATATTTATAATTAAAATACATATAATATGTATCAAAATAAAAATATAAGTGAGTGTTAAATACATGTGGTAAATAGAATTTTAATGCTACTGCATAAAATTAGTGCTGGTGTAATTTGGACTTGTAGTTTGTTTCCTCCGTCGGTGTTTTGTTTATGTTTATAAAAAAAAATATAATTTAGTAACGCAGTGATTTTGTCTTTTTTTTATTTCTTTTGTGTAAAATAAAAATAACATAAACTAAAAATCAGAAGTATTGCTTGTGATATGTTTTTTTGTTTATCGTAAAAAAAAACGTAACCAGTGAGTGTTGTTGGTTGATTCTATATATTTGTTTATTATATTTTTTTCTATTATCAAAGGTTTATTAAATAATAGTGCAAAAAAAATGTTTATTAAATAAATGTGTTGTTTATTGTTTAGTAAATGTTCAATGTATGTTTTAAATTACAATATGTAAAAACTTCCAAATTCATTCATAAAATTCACTTTTTGTTTATTGCTTCTTCTTTAGGTTTGTGCGGTTTACGAATCAATGCCCGCGGTTCATCTGGCTAGTGGCTCACAGGTAATGTCTGTACACTTCAGTGACCAAATATATATTAATATATTTCTTATTTTTTTCAGGTATTTACGATGTTATATTTTGGTGGGTGAGTGCTGGTGTTGGTTTTTATGCTGACGGTCTGACGTCAGATTTGTATTTACGTATATGTATGGTTGAAATTGTTGTATGGAATTTCAGCCTTTACAGCGCAAACAACAACAATAGTAACTCTGAAGAAGATGAGAATCATATTCTTGAGGAACAACAAACTATACAAACACATAAAAAGAAGAATCAAATGGGTGAAATTGTAAGTCAGAAACAAATGATAACAGAACAAATGACAGCGAATATGAGTCGAATGAGTGTTATGAATACAAATATTGAGCGAGAAGAAAATAATAATAGTGTCTCTGCTGTACAAGTAAATTCGTTAAAGGAGAACGAAAATTAACTTTTGAAATGGGAGCTTAAAGTGTTGAAACGAGAGCTAAACATAGAAAGACGAGAAAAAGAAATATTAATCAGAGAAAATAAAACATTAAAAAAAGAAAGTCAACAAAATGAAATAAAAGATTATGCTTTAAATAATGAAGTTAAGTTTTCAACTATAAAAAAATTGCTGTCAGAATTTTCTGGAACTGGTGACAACTTTCAGCTTTGGGAAGCACAATTACAAAGTATTCGAACGGCTTATAAACTGGATGATAATAGGTTAGGTTAGGTTAAACCGGCGATCCCATGGGGATCCACTTAGGCCCATAGGCCCATTGTGATACCGTATTATTTAGAACCCACGGGCTAAAACCGTCCAGAACCTTTAACAAAGCTAACGATGCTACATAGAGGGAGTTCTCGAAGTTCGTCAAGATCCTCAAAAAGAAAGCCCCCAAAAATTTAAGGCGACGCCCTGCATGTGCCGGACACGAAGAAAGCAGGTGAGAGGCACTTTCGTCATCCTCACCACAACTGCGGCAAAAATGGTTGAACGGTAGATTCAGTCTCCTAGCATGATTACCTAGAATACAATGACCTGTTAGTAAACCTACTACAAGACTGATATCTCTACGGAACAACTCTAAAAGAGATTTCGATTTTCTATTGTTGGTCTGTGGCCACATTGCTTACAGATGCCTGCATATCGCAGAGTCTTCCCATCTTTTGTTAAAAAGTTCGGCACAGGAAGAACTCAAAATCAATTTGCATGAAGTCAACGATATGCCCAGATTGTTTAGGTGTTCCGAGTGGTTCCCTGAAGCACCACGTCTGGCTAGCTCGTCTGCTTTACAATTGCCGTAAATATCCCTATGACCGGGGACCCAGATTAGAGAAATATTGAACTGCGTCGACATCTCATTTAGAGATGTGTAGCAGTCAAGGACCGTCCTAGATGTGAATTGGACAGAACTCAAGGACTTTAAAGCAGCTTGACTATCCGATAGTATATATATATTCCTTTCAAGTATATTACCTACTTCTAGACAAGCTAAAGCTTCCTTAATTGCAATTACTTCTGCCTGAAAAACACTACAGTGATCCGGAAGCCTATAGCAGGAGGATATATTCAGCCCCTCTGAGAAAACTCCACTGCCTACGCCGCTCCCAGTCTTTGAACCATCAGTAAAAATTTGCAGACCCTCACCCAGGGAGGGACCTCCTGACAACCAAGCTTCCCTGGATGGGAATCTAACAATAAATTTTCTATCAAAGTCGAGAATCGGAGAGGTGTAGTCAATGTTATTTGGAGTAGAACTGAAAATATTTAGAATCGAGCCGTGCCCATAGTCACTAGCCTTCCATTGTGAAGTAGCCTTAAGTCTTAGGGCAGATGATGCTGCCAACTGCTTACTGATGATGTCAAGTGGCATTAAATGGAGCATTAGATCTAATGCTATAGATGATGTTGTACACAGAGCACCACTTATACAGAGTTCAGCCCTGCGCTGAAC